GAAGTTTCCCTTCCTTTCGGGAATCGCGCTGTTGCTCCTTAACAAATTCCTCCCCTGGCCACACTGAAGCTAGATTCTCGGCACTGCTGTAAGATCTCTTAACTATAGTATTTCGAGAAAGAAGGAAGTAAAATTGCGTCAAGTTGTAAGTTGAAAACAAAGTCCTTGTAAAACTTAATGTTACTTAGAATGATTTCAAATCACACATTTAAATTTTTCCAAATTAAAGCTCAAAAAGCAACAGGAACTTTTTGCCTTCAGCAAAGGCACCTTAAAATTCTGTTGTGATTTAGAGGTATATCCCAGTATAGAGGATCTCAACGGGGTGACGGCTTTTACGGTTAACAGTTCAAATTTTGGCTATTTTTTGGCTAACGTTAAATTTCTTTCCATTGTGATCAAAACAAATAATTTTTACGGTTAACTTTTTTTACGCCTAACGGCTACATCTTTCTCCCGTTTTACTCCCATCGATTAACCCTATCGAGACTTTTACGCAAAGCAATGAAGAATATAAGAATTTTAGAAGCCTAACTTGCGTTTCTTAACCACCAGCTAGTCACGTAACAATTTTCACTCTGCCATTTAATTCCGAAATGTCGAAAGTTTTATGCATCTGGTGCAATGACAGAGGCTGATTGTGGAGCTCAATTTAGCTTCTTTAGCTATGTTAAAGCACCATTGAAACATTGAAATATTTAAACAAATGTTTCCAACAGAGATTAAAGTTACCAACAGTCCTAACATCGAGGGTCCTGGGATCACGTTTCAGATATTCTCACAATGCTACTTCGAAAGATTGCTCTATCCACATTTATATGTTCCTGCCATTTTAGAAGATGAAACCACAACAATCTTGGATCATCATTTATTTATACATGATGACTTGTGATCGAGTTTTTTTCTTCTCTTTTTTTAACTAAAGAGCGTTTTGTTAAGTCAGAACGTAAAAAAATAAACATCAGAGCATTGCAGTAAGAGTAACTCAAGCAATTAGTCACCTGTTAATGTCACGCAGCGCAGGGTTGTACAAAAAGCAAAAGAAATGTCATTTTATGTTAAATATTGCAGCCCCTTGAAACCGTTTCAACACTCCGTTTCTCTCTTTCTTTCCACAATAACCATTGGAGAAGGAAAAGTAAAAGAGGAAAAAAAATAAAGAAGGTTTTAGAGTGCGAGAAAGAGATGAGTTCAAGGTGGGTGCATGTTCCCTTTGTCATGGCAAAATCGAAAACGGATTTTCGCATTTTCCCTCGATATCAAGTTGTCAGCAGAAAATATTTTCATCTGGCTTTCATCAACCATCTATAAGAAACAAAATGGATGAACGCTAAAGGGGCTTTCATTACTTTGACAACGACAATGCTAGTTCAATATACTGCCATGTTAATCTTAAAACTGATAAGCGGAATATGGCTATGACAATCAAAGGGGTTACATAGCTAGCCGTGGTCAAATATTTATCTTTAAAAGACTTTAAAAATCTTCGAAGAATACAGAAAAATTGTACAGTAATGAGTAAATGCAAATTGGTAATTTCTATCGAGTACATCTGGTCCCCGCTTATTGATTATTAACCATACCGTTCCTCCATGAGAAGAAAGGTTTGTGCTTTCTAAATAGAAATATTGATTTTGAACTGAAACGACTCATCAAAGCGAATAAGGATTAAAATTCCTCGGTCAAAATCTATTCTTAGAAAAGCAAGCCACTACCAAACAGAAACCTCACATTTCAACATTGATCTTTATTAACTTTATTCCATGTGTTTAGCACTATGATATCCCAACACCTGGTTTTCTCACAATCACTATAATCAAGACCCCTTGTTTACTATTCGTCAATGATTAATACATCTGTCGATCAGCTATTTGCGTTTCTTCACGATCCTGCAGTAAACAATAGACACAGACAACTGATCAGCTAAATAACAAAAATCTATATGCAGAATTATCAAAAATATTCCTCATGGCCGTGTTTCAGATTTTGGTGGAGCAAAAGTGGGTTTACCGGAAAACAACGAATCAGATATAGAGATTTCAGTTAATTCCTTTCAAGAACTCCTTTGTAGCTTTGGTAGCTTAAATTGGTCTAAAAAATGCAATAGAAATGTTGCAATTATCTCATATTAGATGTGATCGTGGCAACGTGATAACTTTTTTGGTCATTAGAGTTTTCTTAATGTGTTGTCTTTTAATGTGTAGTCTATAAGTTTTCATAATAGAATGTTTCTTATATCTGACATTTGCTCACCATAAAGCGACTGTATGCCACTGATGTCATCCGAATGTAAGCTGGGATTTCCTGTTCTAGCATAGGGCCACATGACGGCGTCGTCATTGTCAGAGTGACCCAGTCCTAAGGTATGACCAAACTCGTGCAAAGCAACATAGCTTAAGCTTTGGTAAACCTTCTCCGACCACCACCACCCAGTGGTACCACCATTCTCACTGTACCTTTCATCGTTATCAAAATGGACCCTTCCGTCTTGAGGGAAGTACGCATGCGCAAGGGTTCCTCCCTCTCCGTCGAAATCGTAATTACAGTCTTTCTCATTAGTGACGCCAGCATGAGATTTAGATCCAGAGCTTTTAGGGAAAAACATTACTTTAGCGAGGAAAAAGGTTACTTCAGCGAAAATATGAAGGTATCAGCCGTCAAATAGATATTCGCAACGGCTAATTCGTTCATCATTATTAGTATGATTGTTATCATCTTTAATATTATCACTAAATTATCGTTAGAACACAAAGCGGTCCAACCTTATCCTTATATCGGCATTGTCGTAGTCATCTGTCCACGTAAACTTAAGACTTGAAGCAGCACCAACCCATTTGTCTAAAGCTTCCTCGATGATACGACGCTGAGTGGCCTCACTCATATCGTTACCGTACTCCATATAATATGTTAAACTTGTCTTGGACCATTTTCCTCGCGTGGTGAAACGCTTGACACGTCCATCTTCGTCGACATCGGGCATTCCACATCGTGGCTTTCTCATCAGGTATAGAGTGTCTTCGTCCAGTTCTCCCGTTTGTGACAAATGGAAAAACTTCTGGAAGTTTTTTATTGCTTTGTTCAGGTCCTGGTTTCCTGATCTAGCTGGTGATATGTAGTGATACTTCCTTAGGTAGCTCTGTTGATGCGAAAAAATTGACTTGAGTTGAAGTCACCTCGATAGTGTGTTCACCTGTTATTATACAAGTTTGCTTGAGCGCTAGTTATGAGAAGATGCCTTGAAAGTAAGCGGCAAAATAATTAAACAAAAAGGAATGAGTGGTCTAGAGTTCAATTCAAGTGAAATCTAAAGCACTAGATAGAGACTACACATCGATACATTCAATTGTGTGTGTGAACAAAAGATTGTGCCAGATCGGGAATCTCCCAACATAAACTGCTGCACCGTTGTTTTATGTTGAATTTTACCGGTTTTCCTGACCACCTGCCTATACCAACTATTTTCCTATTCAAAGCAACAAAACACACAACAGTCAAAAAGTTTTCACACTTGCCTCGGCGAAAGATTCGTCGTCCTCAAACTCGTCAAACGACTCATAGCAGACGATTTTTCCAGCAAAGAGCAGGGAAACTAGCAGAAAGGAGACCAACATGGTTAACCTGTTCAGCTTCTTAGCATGCGAAATGCACCTTTCTGCCAATGATAGGCTGCTTTAAATAAAAATTACAAGACAACAGATATATGATAACTGGGAAAACTCTTTGCACAGGTGCACAGCGAAGAATATTCTAGTCATTTGTTTTTCAATCTCCGTTACAACAGGAGGTATCCGGTGACCCTGCAGTTGCACTCGAAATGACTTTTGCTGGTGTGTATCGTATTTAACAATAGAAATATTCTGGATCACATTGTACACAAGATTTCTACATCGTTAGTAAGCGCGTAAAACACTAATATCTATTTTCAAAAGGGAGAGAACCTTGTCTCAGAGCTGTTACAAAAATTGTAGCGTTGAGATGGTTTCAAAATATTGGCCGATTTAAACGAATCGAATTAAGTAGAATTTGATACAAGGTCAATGTTTTCAAATTACAGCTATCAACTGTCTTTTGAATAACTTACTACTCCACTTGGGATGGCTATTCAACCAATAAGTTACTCGGATACTGAGAGTTTGAGCGACTTTGCCATACAAGTTTGTCAAAAGGCATACAACAGCTTAGTCAATTGAGGATAGAAACAAATCTAAGAAGTGCCATAATGGCACGAATTTGTATTCCTCAAAGTTTTTCTTTTCTCTAGTCATTCGACGAACAATCATCTAACAAACACATAACCTCTAATGGTTATTTCTAGAGTGTTAGGACTTGATGAAGATTTAATTTTTAAAGCTTTTTAGTCATAAATAACTCTTTTGATCTGACCACACTAGATAAACAGACAAATTGCTGTTGAAAACTTTCTGAGGTAATAAAAATGATAGAATAGTTCAACTTGCCGCCTTTAGTTACATGTAAGGTAAAACTTTTTCAGACACATGACTCATGTTTGTCTCTTGTTTATTCCAATGAAAATATTTTTTCAGATGGTGTGGATGTAGGAAGAACTTAAGTAAGTTGTCATTACCCCTTCATTCGTGGGATCATGTCGCAGGAATTCTTATAATAGAATGTATAGTGATTGTTTAGTTAAGAATGATGTTTTAAGCAGGTGGTTGACGGCCGTTGTATGAGTGAAATATAAGAGGCAGGCTCTCGATTTCGGACTGCCGATGCAATTTCTGTTGTTGTATAACGGTCAGGAAGTTTCCCTTCCTTTCGGGAATCGCGCTGTTGCTCCTTAACAAATTCCTCCCTTGGCCACACTGAAGCTAGATTCTCGGCACTGTTGTAAGATCTCTTAACTATAGTATTTCCAAAAAGAAGGAAGTAAAATTGTGTCAAGTTGTAAGTTGAAAACAA